ATATATTGAACAACACTGTTCCCAGTATCAACCCCTAATGGACTCCACTAGATATAGGCCTCCAGCTCGACTCCATCCCATTGACCACAACCCTCTGGCTTCTTCTCTTCAGCCAGTTCACAGTCCACCTCACCACCCGATCCTCCAGACCACACATCCTCAGTTTAGCTGCAAGGATACTGTGGGAGACAGTGTCAAAAGCTTTACTAAAATCAAGATAGACCTTTCCATCATCTATCCACCTGGTTATGTCCTCATAAAAGGCAATCAGGTTGGTCAAGCACAACTTCCCTTTGGTGAAGCCGTGTTGACTGCCCCTAATGACCCTCTTGATATGCCCAGAGTTAGCGCCAAGGATATGTTGTGTTACATCATCTTTCCAGGGATGGAGGTGAGGCGGACTAGTCTATAGTTACCTGGGTCCTCCTTCTTGCCCATTTTGAAGACCGAAGTGACATTTGCTTTCCTCCAGTCCTCAGTCTTTTGATTTTCTCAAGACGCCTGCTAGCAAGGAGGCTGGAGGTGTACGAGGAGCAGGGAAGGAACAGCTGACCCAGCATTTCAACCAGCTTTGACAAGATATATGTCTCCATAATAGTGCTCTCTAGTACAGCACCTTCACATCTGAGAAGCAAAGTATCCAGCAGCAGGGGGACTTGGAAAGCTAGAATTTCTATTGTTGCTACACACAAGAGGCTCCAACTCTGCCATGGCCTCACACCCTACCTCTCAAAAACCCATGACAAAGCCAGAGGATTATCTGTTGGCAGATAGGAAAGCTAAACTCTGTGCAACAGACTGTAATGGAGCAGGGAGAAGAGCAGCTCTCAGCTCAGGGATGTGCTACAGCCCCAGCAATCAGCACTTTATAAAGCACAGTGCAGTCAAAATTTATATATTCATCATTTATATTTTCATCACAAAATTGGCTTAAAATAGCTATATCTAAAACAATATAATATGTTTACTGGTTTTGTAGCTTCTGAGAATTTAACATATTATTTCTGCACTGGTGTGCTCTGGGGGACGCCTGTCCAGAAAGCAGCTTGTGGACACCATGGTGACCATGAGCCAGCAACATACCCTTGCCACAAGGACAGCTGCGGGGATCCTGGGCTGCAGTAGGAGTATCACAGCAGGTCAGAGGAGGTGCTCCTTCCCCTCTGCTCAGCATTGGCGAGGCCACAGCTGGAGCACTGGATCCAGTTCTGGGCTCTACAGCACAGGATAGACATGGAGCTACTGGACAGAGCCCAGGCTGAGACATGGACTCTTAATTACCTCCAGTGGCAAAACTGAGCCTTTAAGAAAAAGCAACACCTGGGATCATGCTAAAACTACAGATGGTATTACAAAGTACTGCAGGCAGTGAGCTGAGAGCTGATTTCCTGGAACTTCCTCTGTCTCCAGGCATTGCCCAGAGCAGGCATTTTAAGAGACTAATGGCACTGTAATAGTATTTGCTCCATATAAACACAGGAGAACACTCAGCAGCACCCTTCCACACAGGCAGGCAGTCCAGTGGATAAAGGCAAATGTACACACTTCTTCCCTTCCAAATTTAACTGCTTTAAACCCATGAGGCAATAAATCCTCTGGAGGTACATCATGGCTGCCGGACCCCTCAAGTTTTTGCTGCAGCACAGGATGAGGTTTGTAGTGGACTGAGGCTGTCTCCATTGCTTTTCTCTGTGCTGTAGCTTTTATCTACAGCTCAAAACAGGGTGAAATGTTCTTCAGGGTGATGAGAGGCTGTTTTTTGTATTGCACATTTGAAGTTACTGAATGGATGCTGTAAACACAGAGATGGGAGGGAGAAGGGCAAGACAGCATCAAGTGGCTGTTCGCTTCAGGTACAATCACAGTTAACAAAGCAGAAACACTTGGAACTTCTCTCCTGGTGGCTGTGTCACTTGCCATCCCAGGAGTGTCACTGTCACTGGGACCTGCTCTCGGGCCTGTGGATGGCTCAGACATACACTGGGAAGAATAAGCAGTTATTCGTGATCTAATATGCCATGCTGCGGCTACTAAAGACCTAGCCAGCCAACTCCGCCTCCAAGCACTGCTCAGAACATCCCAGCATGTTATTGTCTACAGCTTGGCTTTTGAAATTTACACTCCAATGCTGCTGAGGTGCTCCCTGTTTGGCCAGACACTATGCTCTGGTGAAAGCCACAGCAGGCAGACTCAGGCATGGCTGATCACCCTGCTTGGGGGAGCACAGCTCACACTGGAGCAGTGCCAGTTCTCCACCTTCTCACCCCCAACTTAAAACTATCACCTCTCTCTGCTTATTCTGCCCTCACTCACCAGCCCTAAAAGGGCTCAAGGTAACATCATCCAAGCTCAGTGCCATGACCAGAAGGCAGTCTGAAACTCAGGCAGCCAACATCTGGGTGCTGATCCCCAGAGAAGTACAAGTTACACTTATGAGCAGCCAAAAGCATCCAAAGAGGACTAAGATATGATACCAAAATATTTTAAAATGTCCAGTCTTCTATCTTCTTTTATAACTAATACAGAAATACATTCAGAGTCTGCCCTAGACCATCTACACCATCCCCTCCGTAGCATGAGCTGTTTGTTGCTCAGCCCCCTAGGCTGGACTAACGCTACGCTGCAGCCACTTTCAAGGACTGTAGCAGTGTCATCCTGTGTTGCCAGGACAGCATGATTTCATGCACCGCTGAAAAATGCCAAGCCCTGTAAGGGACTTCCAACCTCCATGCAGCCCAAAGAGAATTCCTTGGGAAAGCCAAGAAAGAGCAGTCTTGTGCCCCGTCTCTGCCTCAGCTGGAGTTCCTGGACACTGCAGGAGCTCCACATGGGAGAGACACCCCTTGGTCACTCCTGGGCACAAATGTGGGGATTTTACTCAGCTGGATAGCTGAGCTCCACTACAGCCACTCTCTCACTCCCCCAAGTCCCCCAAAGGGAAAGGGAGAGAAAAAATGGAAACTGTTCAAGGATTGAGATAAAGACAGGAAAATCATTCAACAATTATTGTCACAGGCAACACAGAGTCAACATAAGGGAGATTAATGCAATTTATTATCTATTTCTAACAACCTAGAGCAGTAAGAAACTAAAAACTAAAAACACCTTCCCCCATCCACCTTTTTCCACCTCCTTCCCCCTGAGCAGTGCAGGGAAATGGGGACTGTGGTCAGTCCATGACATTTCAACTCTGGCACTCCTTCATGGTCACTCTCTGCCCCTGCTCCAGCATGGGGTCTCTCCCATGGGATGCCATCCTTCCCAACTGAGCCTGTGGGGGCTGCCCACAGGCAGCAACTGTCCAAGAACTGCTCCCACATGGCTCCATACCACGGGGTCCATCCCCCAGGAGCAAACTGCTCCAAGCCAGGTTCCCCACAGACAGCAGCTCCCTCCAGACCCCTGCTCCTGCGTGGGCTCCTCTCCATGGGCTGCAGCTCCGGCCCGGGGCCTGCTCCTGTGGGGGCTCTCCATGGGCTGCAGCTTCCTCCAGGCCACATCCACCTGCTCCACCTGGGGCTCCTCCACGGGCTGCAGCATGGAGATCTGCTCCATGTGGGACCATGGGTGCAGGGGGACAGCCTGCTCCACCAGGGGCCTCTCCCTGCACAGGCCGCAGAGGAACTGCTGCTGTGAGCCTGGAGCACCTCCTGCCTCCTGCTGCACGGACCTTGGGGTCTGCAGGGCTGTTTCTCACTCCTCTCTCTCCCAGCTGCTGTTGCCCAGCAGGTTTTTTACTTTCTCAAATCTGCTCTCACAGAGGCACAAACAACATTGTTTAATGGCTCAGCTCTGGCCAGTGGTGGGGCCCTTTTGGAACCATCTGGAACTGGCCCTTATCTAACACTGGGCAGCTTCTGGATTCTTCTCACAGAGGCTACTGCTGCAGCCCCCCACTATTGCAACCTTGCCACACAAACCCCATACAACACGGTGAGAGCACTGTCTCAACACCACACAAACCCTGTTTGCTCTCCCTAGCAGTCAGCAAAGGGTGGAATGAAAAGGGTTATCCTGTTCTCCCAAGAAGCCACCGTGGTGGCAGACCAGTCTGCGCACCATGATCTACAGCCAGCCAGTACAGAACTTCGTCCAGAATAGACACACATATCCGCACACACTTTTTTATTTTCTTTCTTTTTTTTTTTGTTAGATATGCGCGCCCCCCTCCCCATTGTTTGGCATAGTGTTATGAATGAAGAAAAATTTCCGTGTTGCACAGACATGACACAGTCCTAAAGCGATCCCAACAGCACCTCTCCCCCAACCGCTCTGCAGGGCCCGGGACTCCCGCGGCCCCACGGCTCGGGCGCAGCCCCGCACGCGGGGACGGGGCCCGAGGCCGACTCAGCCGCCTTCTTCCCGCCGCACCGGCCGCGTCCCGGCCGGCAGGGGCAGCGAGGGCCGCCCCGGGCCTCCTCCTTCCCGCCCGCCGGCAGGCCGAGCCGCAGGGCCACACCGCCGGGCCCGGTGTGGCCTCAGTGCGGCTTCAGCCGCCGCGCAGTGCGCAAGGGCCCAGCCCAGGGCTCGCCGCCGACGCCGCGACCGCGAAGGCCGCTCTCTTCCAGGACGTGAAAATGGCGGAGCGGAGCTCTGCCCCCCTCCGCGGGGCGCGCCGGGGCCGCCTCGCCTGTAGGGGGCGGCGCGCAGCGAGGGCGCCACGGGCAGGAGCTGCCCCCGCAGCCGGCGGCCGCCAGGGCCCGGCCCCGCGCCCTCCCCTGCCCCGGGACAGCGCAGCCGGCACAGCGCAGGGGCCCGGCGGGAGCAGGGCGTCCGGGCGCGCCGGCTCCGCTGCCCTTGGCGAGACCGAACCGCAAAGCTACCGCGCTGCCGGTGCTGCCTTTCAGGGAGAGTAAGAAAAATAAAACAGAAAGGCAGAACCCCAGCGAGCCCGCCGCAGCGGCGAGCCCGGGCTGACGGGGCGGGGAGGCGCTGGCCGCAGCCTCCGTCCGCCGCGGGTCCGGGCCCGGGCCCGGCAGTGCCCCCGCCGCGCCACTTACCTGCACCGCACCGCACCGGGCGGCCCGGCCAGGGCGGTGCTCGCGGGGCCGCGCCGAGCCGCGCCGAGCCGCACGGGCCGGGAGCGGGCTGCGCAGATGCGGGTGACGGCCGTGCCGCCCCGCCGCTGCCGGGCTCCGCGGCGCCCGAACGGCCCGAGGGCAGCGGAGCCCCGCGCCGGGAGGGGCGCTGGGCGGCTCGGGCCGGCCGCGTGCGTGAGTGTGTGTGTGTGTGTGTGTGCACGCGGGGAGGGGGGGGGCGGTAATTGGGCAGGTTGAGTGAGAATGCATGCAGTTAATGAGTGCCGTCGCCATGGTAACCCGTGTATTCTTCAACGTTGCAGTGTCAATTTTTAATCCGACCGCATAATTTTGGGGAGCTGCCTGGCCGCGCACGGCGGGTCGCCACGGCAACGCGCAGCCCGGGCACCCCCGAGGCGGCCGCGGTGCGGAAGGGGCCGCGAGGCTCCCCGGGAGCTGCCCGCTGCCCGCGGTGCCCTCCTCCGGGCTGCGCCACCGCCACCAGGCCCGGCCCAGCTCCGCCGGGCCCAGCGCCGCGCCCCGCAGGCACGAAGCGGGCGGCGGGACCCGGCCGGCGAGTACCGGGAGCGGGGCGCGGCCTTGGAGCAGCGGCGAGCTCCGGGGCTCCCCGGCCCTCCGGGCACCGCCAGTGCCCAGCACAGAGCACAAGTGGGACCCGGCGCCAGCAGTGACCGCCAAAGACCAGTCAGCCCAGCCGAGGCAACGGCTGCCAGCACACGGGCAGCAAAACAGCCGTGGGGTAGGAGTGAAGGCAAATGCTGCCCAGCACAGAGCTCCAGGATTGGGAGCACACCAGCTTGAGTGCAGTTCTTGGTGCCAGTTCTGGGCAAAGCAGAGAGAGAAATGCTGCACGCCGCTCAGCAGCAAAACAGTGTCTCTGCTTACACCCAAGCCCTGGAGAGCTGGTGCAGACGAGACATGGCAGCTTTGATTGCTGTTAGAGGGAACAATCCCACTCAGGAACTCTGATAAACTGTGGCAGGAACGTTAAATTGATCTCTGCCACATTGTCTTGCCTCCACTCCTTTTCATAGCAGAAGCAGGTAGTCATGAAGCACTTTGTTCCCACAATACTGAGAAGTCAGGCTGAGCTTGAGGGTCCCAGCATCTCCCATCCTGACCTTGCATTGGGGTTTTGAGGTGGCTTAAACATGATTTTCACCTTTTTTCAAAAATTAAGCTTGAAATTGGGCTACATCAGGCAGAAGGCATGAAAGATGGGAGCTCCTCTAAGTCATTAATGTTAACCTAACCCCCCTGGAGTACAATCAAACTCCACCGCTGATGGTAACGTACCTACATCTTACCCAGCAGTTAAGAGACCTCCAAGATCAAACTAGTTCCTGAGGCCTCATCTGAAGTAGGCAGGCATGTGCTGCCCCAGTGGAAAGCGAGGACCTCCTTAGCACTCATTCCACATGCACAAAGAATGACTACAAAATATTAACATGAAATCTCCAAAGATCTCTAGAAAGTGAGTAAATGTAGGACTTGCTCAGTGCTGAGCAGTGCTTACTAAGTGCTGGTCAAAAAAATACAGTTTATATGTCTACCCTGTAGAATCTCATGGATACAAAAAATGTGCCTTTTGGACATACAGTGTTTGTCCTACTTATCCACAGAAGGTTGGAGCTGAAGGAACTGAGACCAGAAGCAGAACAAGAAGTGCAAAAAAGTGTACAGCTGTTGAAAACAGCACTCAGTACACATGGGACAGGCTGGGAGACGCAACTTTCTGTACACCCCTCAGGCCACATCCTGCCATATGAAATCCAGAGTAATTGTGGTATTTCTGCTTGCTTTGGGGAGAGCAGGAGAAAGCTCTTTGTGTCTAATGTAACTGCCATTTTCAGTAGTGTGTGCCTACCAAGAGACATACATAAGAGACATAAATCCTAATGCATTCCTACTGTACGGGATGACAATACCCTTGCAGGTGGCTGTGCCTGCCACTCCTCACCTTCAGTTATATCTCACACTCATTTGACCCAACAGCCTGACTGAGACCTTGCAAAACATGAGCTAACATAAGAGTTTGAACTACAAACTGGCACACACAGCTTCTATTCTACAAATTCACTTAGCAAGTCACTTTGGTTCTGTTCCTCAGTTTCACTGTCTCTAGAAGGTTTTCATGAGCTGGTAACTATGAAAAACAATTCTGCTTATAGTTGCCAAACATAATAGGTGACACCCAAATTATGGCAAATGGTGGATTACACTTTCAGCTCATAGAACAACAATTATTAATCATCAGAAAATAGACCAAGACAAGGTAACTAAGAGGCACTTTTAAAAATATTTCATGCTGTCTTCCCAGTTACTGGCAGCATTTACTCTAGGCTGAGTGGCATGCCTCTACCAGGCAGCTCAGCAGAATAGAATCTGCAATCCCAGGGCAGCCGTTGCACACAAGCTGCATCTTCCAGTCACCTCCAACTCTGGCTTCACCTCCATGATTTTCAGTATTTTGGACTGAAATCACTGAACTTTGGTCCTGTTTAGTCAAAACATTCAAGCAAAACTTAAGATTTTGCTATTAAAACAAGTCAAAATACTCCTTTTTTAAAATGTGTGTTCGAGATTTCTAAGTCAAAGCAGGTCACCCTGCAGGAGCAAATTTCTGTAAACAAGAGGTTGTAGCTCTGTAAGTCTGAGAATCACCCAGGATCACGTCCAAAACTATGAACCATTTTGAAGTACATACCTTCCAAAACATGTGCTAGCAGTAGTCATCTTCCTGTTGCCACTACTCTTCCAGCAGATCACACCAATTGCTGTGATCTGTTCCCTTGCATACAGGTTACTGCACCTGCGTTTATTTAGCTAAGCAACTTAGACATTTTATTGAAAGATGTTGCTAAAAGGAATTAAGCTAAAACCCCACAAAACCAGGTAAAATGAAACAACTGAAACTTCTTCAACATCTGCATACATGCTTAGCAAAAATAATAGCGTAAAGAAGCTTTGAGAGTTAAGAGCCCACATTCCACTATTCAAATATGCCTAACCACAAAACAAAACCTGGGGAAAAAAGGGTTGATCGCATTAATGCTTCCAAAGCTACAGGTCACTCATGACAAGCATTCTGACTTATCACCTACATAAACACTTTCCTACTGTTCCTACTCTGCCAGAGTTTGAGACAAAGCTAAGGTGTGAGGCATTTGTGCCATCTATCTTTAAGGCAGATATTTAACATCATGTGAATAGCTACTTTATGGAATTTGCAATTGTGTCAAACACTAAAATATAGGAAGAGCCACATTTTTCAAAAACAGGAATAGGTTTGAAATGGACTCCAAATACCACCACAGAGGTTCTAAACTTAACTTTTTTTTTTTTTTAATGGTACAGCATTGATTTCTCCTTCAAGAACTGCTGACACTAACGTTTAAAAATCAATCCTTCAATTCATGTTTGATGACAATGCGTATTTTTTCAAGAACAAATCTATATTGCATCATATATTGCATTAGTTAGGACATCTAATACATAAGCACATCCCCCTGTCCTGGTTTCACCTGGGATAGTTATTTCTTCCTAGTAGCATGTACAGTGTTGTGTTTTGGGTTTAAGATGAGAATAATGCTGATAACACAATGATGTTTTAGTTGTTGCAGAGCTTCTGTTTAGTCAAGGACTTCTCAGCTTATTGTACTGCCCCACAAGTGAGGAGGCTGGAGGTGTACAAGATGGGAGATGACAGAACCAGGACAACTGACCCCAACTGGCTGAAAGGACATTCCATGCCATATGACATCATGCAGGACAGTAAGAACTCAGGGGGGTTGACTTGCAGTTAAGGGTTAAAATTGAGCCATGAGCAACACCAGATGGTTTTGTCATCACCTACTGCTGCTACTGCAGGCTGATGGAAAGCACATGCTACAGCCCCACAATACAGCTATGCATGCAAATCTTCTATGACCTTTTTTTGCTCTTCTATGAAGTTTAAGACATTCATGCAAACTACACTTTTGTAACATCTAAAAGAGATCTCAGAAATAGTCATACTTGTGAACACACCTGACACCAGATTGTCTTCCACTGCCACAAATAAGTGACACTAGCAGAGCTAAAGGGGATTGTTTGGTTGTTGTTTTTTGTTTGTTAGGGGTTTTTGTGGATTCTTACGATTATAGAAAGCCTAGCACTTAACTGCACTTGCTCAGTATCTGGCACTATTGAAATCCTACTACCTTTCCATGGGAAAAAAATCCAGAAGGATCCAGGTGATACCAAGGAATTCCTGCTTCATTAGTGTAGTAAAAGGCCATTTTCCTTTTGTATAGTAACCAAAGGAGACATCACACATTGTTCCAGTAATGGTTAAATAGAACTTCAACGTGTGAAGTAGTTATAGGCAGGTTGGTTAAATCCAATCTAGGCCCTTCCTCCAAGTATTCCAAGTATAATAAGGATGACTTCAAACAACCATTGTCCTAACGATCTTACTCTAAAGAGCTAATATCGTAGGTAAAAGCCATCACTAATGCACTGTTATCAGAGATGATAACTGGTACTGTAAGGCCAATACAAACTCACACTGGAAACTGGTCATAGAAACCAACTGTCATTAATATCTACAGGTACATGCAAGAAACTAATTATTACCTTGTTTTATTACAGATTTATTGAAAACATATATAGCTTTTAAGCTACTGATTCTCCAAGCTCACAATTCCTGTTTTGAGGAGCATGCGTTTTAATAAAATATAATTAAAGGGCAGCAACTCTCCAGGAAATCCAACCTACTCCCCCATTTGTTTAAACCAACGTGCTTTTGTGTCAGTAAGTTTCAAGGAGGTAAATATTTCCACACATGTAGCATAGAATCATCAGACTTCTGTTAAAAGTCCCCAGTAAAACCCCCACTGTTGAAGCCCAAAGCAGAGAATGTACAACCTGCAATGATCAGAACTTACAGCATTTAAGTTTGGTAGCCATTACACTAAAATAAAAACCTTAACTAAAACCTTAATTATTTAAAAACAAACAACAAAAAAAGCCTTTTATCACTAAACCTAGTAGCCGGCTCTCATTCCAGATGCAGAAAATAAACTTTGATACCAAACCCTCTTCAGAGCTGTGGATTTAGTTATAACAGAAATATCCGCAAAACTCCGTAGGAAAGCTGGGCATAGCAGCTCAAACAGTGCAGATTTTTTCCATGCCTAGGTGTCCTTGTTTCAGATAGGATAAAGTTAAATTTTCCTCCTAGTAGCTGGTAGGGTGCTATGTTTTGGATTAGGATGAGAAGAATGCTGATGGCATGGTGATGTTTTAACTGTTGCAGAGCAGCGCTTACACCAAGCCAAGGACTTTTCAGCTTCTTGCTCTGTCCTGTCAGTGGGCAGGCTGGGGGTGCAGCAAGAGCTAGGAAGGGACAAACCCAGGACAGCTGACCCAAACTGGCCACACGGGTATTCCATACCATCTGATGTCATGCTGAACAATATATAGGGGTGGGGGGGCCAACTGCTTGGGGATAGGCTGGGCATTGGTCAGCAGGTGCTGAGCAATTGCATTAGTGCATCACTTGTTTCATACACGTTATTAGTAGTACTACTATTGTTATTATTTTCCTGTCTTAATAAACTGTCTTTATCTCAACTAACAGGCTTCACTTTCCAGTTTCTCTCCCCCATCCCAGAGAGTGAGGGGGGAGGGTGAGCAAACATCTGTGTGGTGTTTAGCTGCCAGCTGGGTTAAACCACAACACCAGGGCAGATACAACACTGAAAGTGTGCAATATAAAAGTAATATGATCTTCTGCCAACCTAAGCCTTGAAATCACTTCAGTTCATGTTTCATTAAGAATGTGTTGTTTACCAGGCAGAACAAGCTTCACTCATCTTTAGATCTCTTCTTCTACTAGAACAAATACCAGTATGTGACAGGCAAAAGTTGAAGCTGTGATAAGGAAATGGTGAGAAGTGTTTAGCTAGTACAGCAGCTCCAGGCAAGCTGGCATCAAGTCACATCTGAATGCAGCTCCTTGTACATGATCCAATTTATCTCAACAGACGTCTAAAATCCTGGTAAGTCAGAGATGCTTTCACAATCAGTCACACATTAAGGAAGGACAATGAAAAACTAATGAATTTTCTAATGAAAAACTGTTTAGTTGACTAGCTCATCTCAAGCACAAAACCAACTTTATTTCAAAAATTCCCAAGTCTCCTGCTAAAGCAAAGTAGTTACTCCAGTCAAAGAGGTAAGTAGGATAAATTATTTCGCCAGCATTCCCCCAGAAGTCCATAACACTATAATAAACACAAGAGCTTGAGTCACCAATTTAATTTTATACAAGTCAAACTACACATTGTATAAAGAGTACAAGGCAGTTCTAATGTTTCCTATTGCATGTTACAAAAATCAATTTAGCTACAAAGGGGAGTTTTTGGGACAAGTTCTATTCCACAATTTAAGTGAATTGGCAACTGTGGTTTAGCAAAGCCTTTGTTAAGACTAGAACTCTAGCTCAAAGAGATTACACTTCCAGTAAAGTTCAGATTCACACACAACAGGATTGTAGTTCTATTCTGAAGCAAAATGTTAACGTAAATGAGTCAAAAGGGAGGGAAGACAGCTTTATTTAGCTAGTTTTCATATCCAATAGATATTTAGAGGCTGACAAATCATACAACATACTAGTGACTTGGACCACATCCAAGAGACATTAGTGTCTGACAACTGTCACTTGATAGTCAAGCAAAAAAAATGTCAGAGAGCTTTCATTCTTTTAAGTTTCTAAAGTATGATTTGCAGCAATACTGTACGACACAGGTTACAGAGTACCTTTATTACCTTTAATACAGTCACAGTATCATGTGGGGAATGTTCTTTTGGCAAGTTAAGATGCAAAACAAATGCTCCAACTTGAGTTTATTGCTGGTCTAAGGTTTTCCTAGTATTGTTAACAGTTTACAGTTTTGCAGCCTGCTCCCATAAATTAAGATAAGCTAGAGAATTATCTGACCTGCTCAGCGAGGCAATCCTACCTTTGGTAGCAAGCTGTAAACCTATGAAGCCAATGATACTCAGTTCTAAAACCATGAAAAAATGAAAAAAATGATACGTTCAAAAAAGCCCAGATTTAAGCTTGTTATATTCATTTAATATAAAAACCACTTTACACTTAAGAGTAGTTAAGTTACTCCTGTGGAAATATTATAAAATCAAAGTTTTAGATGAATTTCTAAAAAAAAAAAAAAAGTGGGGGGGGGGAGCTTTTCCTGCTTTGTACCACCATCCAATCTTGTAATTTCAAATTTAGGATACAAATTAAACCTTTATGCCTCATTACTTAGTTCTTAGGCCATCTGCTCCTGCAATAGAAAAAAACTTCTGAAGTACTAATGTAACATTAATGGCCTGACAAGTAGGAAAAATGTTCCGCAATAGTGTGCAATATAAGAGGAGAGTTCTAGTCTTAATCTCTTGAACTAGATCTTGATCGTGAGCGAGACTTTGAACGAGATCTGGAACAGGACCTCGATGCAGCTCTTTTGGGTGGTGACTCTGAACGAGCCTTGGTAGATGGCTGCTGCTGTGGAGAATTGGAACGAGACCTACTCCTTGACCTGGATTTAGACTTAGCATCTCCTTTACCATTTTCTTTGGGAGATCGAGACCTGGACCTGGACCTGGATCGAGACTTCTCAGACTTCTCCTTGGATCTGCTGTGAGAGCGCGAACCCCTGTCAGACTTGGGTTTTGATTTGCTCTTTGATCTAGACTTCCTGCTTTTAGATCTGGAACGTGAGCGGTCTTTGCTTCGTGACCTGGATTTAGATCTTTTGAAAAGAAAGACAGTTACTCTACGTGAACTGAAGTACACTTATAGCTGTTGTAAACAGTTATCAGTTAGTAAGTAGCAACTCCTGTACTAACGCAAAGCAATGTATCACTTACCTGGAACGACTTTTAGTGACACTACGGGACCTGCTGCGGCTGCTCCTACTTCTACGACTTCTGCTTCTAGACCGTCTTCTAGATCGTGACCTAGAAACATTTAACATTAACATTTAACATCCCTTATTCTTCGTCTGGTGTACCCTGCTATGCTACCTAACACAGAGTAACTATTGAAGAACTTGTCAGTAACACACCCACATCAAGACATACCACTAATCCACCCATACTCAACATACCGTCAGCCAATTACATCTGGTATTTCACACAAACTCTCAACACCAGCTTTGCAATATAACAAAATAATTCCTTCCACATTTCTCAGGAATTGCCCTATTCCTAGAATATAAATTGAAGGCAATTACTGTAGGCCAGCCTACATATACCCATTCTCAAGTTTAACTGGTCTTGATATAGAGAGTAACACATCCCAAAAGTTACCTTGACCTACTGCCAGAGTAAGATCGCCTATGGCTTGACCGTGGCTTGTCTTCAACCAGCCGGATTTTCCTTCCATTTATCTCTGTGCCATCCAGTTTGTCCAGGGCACGCTTCATGTCCGAGTATGATCGGAACTCAATTACGCCTTCATTTGTACGTTCTTTGTGTGCATCTGCATAGGTTACCTCCCCAGCTTGCCTCATGAAATCCTTGAGAGTAAATGAAAAGTTACACAACCACTCCATATACTTGTACTCTGCAACTACCTTAGCTTAAGACAAGTCTGAGCAGATATAAAAAGCATTGTGTGCATTCACATGCACATTTATACTTCTCAATTACTTCTACTTAAATCAAAATGAGCGATTACATAAAAAGGAGGTTATTGGTTCCTGCTAATCACAACATACTCTATTGTAGAACATTAATACATACTTTCAAATCCTGCCAACTACAGCGACTGGAAAGGTTTTCAACAATCAGTCTGTACTCTGTACGAACAGGCGGTCCATATTTATCTCTTCCAGATTGTCTCCGACTGCTATATCCGCCACCACCCCCACCTTTATTGTGCAAAGAAATAAAGTTAGTTTGTCTCCTAGCATGAAGAAAACTAAAATGTTCTGAAAAAGTTAGTTAAACAGTTATATTTACTGGAGTAGGACTTTATTTCTCTATGCCTCCAATAAACTTTCAATTTTGCCATAATCTATATTAATGGCAAATCAAACAAACTAAAATCCTACAAGACTGTCCTCCTAAGATCTGTTAGAGAGTGACTGCTCCTTATTAGATTCACCTTGCTAAGTTTTATTTTACAGAACATTGTAAAATATAAAACTTAACTGATTACATGCATTTCTACATTTTACAAAAACGTTTACTAGTTACACTAAGTACTTACATCACAGTATGAGGTTTTTGGTGGTGGTTTGGCCACAAAACACGCAAGGTAACAGTCACCTAGTTCAGTTTAACCAGTTTTGTCTAACCCTTGGAATCCTCACCATCACCCTGCGTCTAATGGCAAAAGGCTGCTGTCGTCATGGCTTCCGGTAAGGTCAGCCAAAGGGTCATAGGGCAAGGGTCACACAATGTATGGAAAAGCCATGGCCAATCAGGAAAGGCAGTCATCTTAGCCTCAGTGGACACAGCCTCAGCCCCACTGGTCACTTTTAAATTGAAACATCAAGGACTTGTTAAAAAGTTTGAAATTGAACATGCAACAATTTTAAACAACATACATTTGATTTTTTAAAAAATAGATTCCCACCCCCCCAACACAAAGATTCTAGAGATCACTGAAAAGCGAGCCATAGAACTTTAATTACAGGCCAGTTAAGTTAAATATAACTCAGCTCCTCAAGAAATTATACAAGCTAGCTGAGCACAGAAATGTTTACGACATCTCCCACTTAAGACAATAATTTCTTGCTTGAAATCCTCCCCCACCCATTACATTAAATTTTACAGCTGACTGCTTCTACCCCAACTATGCAATGGTATTTATTCATAAACATTAGTGATGGAACACCACTGATTTATCTAAATGTTGCAAAAAACACTGGAGCCTTTAAATTAGCAGAGCATATAGTTCCTAAATAACAAGAAACCCTTTCTAGAAAAGGCCACAATTTTGCAGCCAGAATTGTTTCACATATTTGCATTTGTAGACTTCTTAAGGGGGTACCTGAGTGCAATGCTGGTGCCAGGAAGAACATCTATTAACACTATGTCTACAGACAGCTTGCTCCCAGCAATGCACCAGGTATCCCCTGCTACCATACTTGCAGAGATACTGACAACCCACCCCCACAGCCCCAAGGGACTTGGTCCCATCCACTCTATCACCCCAGGCTCTGCCTTGCCAACATAGCCGAGCTGCCTCCCCTTGCCTCCAGTCCCTTGCCCGAAGCAGCCCTGTAACCAAGCAAAAAGACGGGCCTATACTCACTGCGACTACTGTAGCTGTATCCATCCCTGTCGCGGCGGGGTCCGCGGGCATGCTCCACGATCACGCGCTCCCCGCACAGATCCTTGCCGTTCAGCTCGTAAACGGCATCATCGGCGTCTCGGGAGTCCTCAAACTCCACGAAGCCGTAACTAGGGAAGAAGGCAAAGGCCCGTCAGCCACAAGCACCGACGCGCGCAGGGCGGGGACTACGCGCCCGACGGCCCCGCCTGGCTTCTCGCCGCCCGCCCTCCGCCCGCTCCCCGGAGGCAGCGGCTGGCAGCGCGAGCCGCGCCAGGACAATGGGAGCCGGCCCCGCCGCAGCGCCCTCCCTCCCCCCGCGCCGCCGCCATTTTGAGTCGGGCGCCACGCGGCAGCGCGACGGGGCCGCGAGAGCCGACAACATGGGCGGAGGGGAGGGGGGGGGGGGGGGGGAGGGGGGCTGTCAGGCGCGGCCCGCCCGGCCCTGCTGGGGAAGGCGACGCGCGGGCCCGGGCTCGAGGCGTCCGCCGGCCGGCTCCCGGCCCGCAGCACGGCGCTCACCCGTTTTTGAGGTCGACCTCGAGCAGGCGGCCATAGCCGCTGAAGAAGCGCTGGATGTCCTTCTCCCGGACGTGGTAGCTCAGGCGGCCGATGTAAACGCGCGGCATGTCCGCGGCCAGGGGGGAGGGAAGGGGAGGGAAGGAGAAGGAGGAGGAGAAGGAAGCGAACGCGAGGGAGAGGAGCACGGGGAGAGGGCGCCGGGAGGCCCACGAACGCGCTCCGCCGCGGCCTGCTCCACAGCACAATGGCGCCCGCTGCCCACGGCCGCTTTTATAGAGGGGGGCGGGGCCGGCGCGGACGTTACGACGGAGGCGGGGGGAGAAGGGAAGCGCCGCCGGGGCGTCATCGCGCTGCCACGCACAAGCAGCAGCGAGCGGGGGGGGAGGGGAGGAGCCCGGCGGACGGCGGTGCCTACGCGCGTGCGCGGAGCTCGGGGCGTGCCCCGGCGGGGCGGCAGCCGGCACTGCGCGTGAGCCCGGCCGTGGCGGGACCTGAGCGAAGGCGCCGGCGCCGCCACTTGGCGCACGCGCAGTGGTGTCCGCCGCGGGGGGAGGACTCGTGCGGGCCGGGGCCTTGTCTGCGGGGCCTGGCGGCTGCTGCGCTACGGGCCGGAGCTCAGCCTCTGCGGGTTACCCGTTGCGCCGAGCCCGATGGGGGTGCTGGGAAGGGACGGGTGGGGGTGGGCGGCTTCGCGGGGCTGTGCTCAGCACGTCTGGGAACGGTGCCCCGTCAGCTGGGCTGGACTGGGCACTCTAAACAAGGCCCTGGCGCTAAAAAAAAAAAAAAACCTCCAGTCCTAGCATTTGTGCTTTTCCGTAAGTAGAAGCAGGTCTCTAGTGGGCTGGGAAGCCCAGTGGCCTCTCTTCAGGTGCTTTTCAGACACAGCTACTTGGGATCCAGCCTTTCTATCAGATAAAAGTTAACAAGTTCCATGTCCCGATTTGCTTTGTTGTAAATAAGATGCACCCTCCCGATATATTAAAACCACTGTTTCACTCTGATGGGCTTTTCACAATAATATGACTCCATATTATATACCGTAGTTTGTATATTTGATATAAATAGAAGTATTTTCTAGTAAGTTTGTTTTATATTGTATACTATACAAGGGGGAAAGAACACATTTACTTCTACTCTTGAATTTTCTCAGCTGCATGAAAAGCAGCTCATACTCACCTAATGCAATACCTAATGTAAATTATGAACATTAATGTCAGTAATATAACCCAACAAAGACAGCAAGATTGCCTTCAATTTTAAGGATGTTGCTCCACTCCATGAGGTAATCGTCAACAAAAAATTACAGAGATTGTGTTGAAGTTGGGGAAATTTGTTACTCTTGGTTTTTTCTTGTTTAATAAAAGCTTGTTTCATATAATAGAAGAGACAACAGGTGACCCCTTTCTCTCCATCATAATGGACGGTGCTGAGAAGATTTTATCAGTTTATGGAATCTTCTCTGCCTGCCTTAGACTTACACTGATTATACACCAACTTACAAGCCCGATGTATTTTTTTCTATACAATAAGCACCAGGAGATACTTTGACTAGTGAGTAAATTTAGCCATTAACCGGGTTGTAGTGTTCATCAGCTCTGCGCTGGAAGATTAAAAGGCTTTGCTTAATCCCAGCACAGAGGAGAATGTTACGAGATATGCTGTACCTTGCGCTGAGCGTACAATGAAAGATCTGGCAGAGCTGACAGGTATTTCACGCTCGTGAGCTTTCACCTATTCTGTTTTCAGGAAAGTTTTGAAGCACCAATATTTTCTAAGCAACAGGATGGGAAAAGTATTTTAGCTGTTTGTTGCTAAAATGCGATAGCATTCATGAGCCTGTCCTATGGATAGCAATGCCATTGTGATGAGTGTTGTATACACAGAATTGAAGGTTTCTCTTACCGAATTTTAGAATAAATTATAAATAAATAAATAAAACCATTTGTGTCGTTGAGATAACTACCGGTTACAATATGTGATCATTAAAATCCTCTTTCTACAGCTATATCCTATTATTTTCCATTCCTGTTCTCTACGAGGTTAATGATTGACTGACCTAAATTTCAAAAATATCGGATATGATTATTCATTTGAAATCATCTGTGCTGGCACCCACCATGTAGGACAGCTGCATTCTAACGCTTGGTCCTGTGCTTGGTTTAAGATAACATATAAGCCTGTACATAAGTTCAGGGATAAGGAAAGCTAAGCCTGTTTTTAAGGGCTTCCCTGCAAGTGGATGCTCTTCAAAATGAGAGCCTCAAAGGAACTGCCTTTTCCAGAAGGACTGCAGCTCTGTACTTTCCGCACAGTCCATAAAAGCTTCTATCTCATAGGCGATGACACTCAATTTCAACATCTCTGCCTCTTAGTACAAGGAATTTCTTTCCCCTCTCCAACAGTAAAAGTAAGTTCTTCATGACAAAAGTGTTATCCCTGCATTCTCTGATCTCTGAGACTTTCAGTTGAGGTTTATTTCACTGCTTTATCTTGGGAGAATATTCCCAGAGAGCGTCTCAGAAATGGAGAAAAAATAGTCTGTTCAACTAAGGGCTGGAGCATAAATGGGTACAGTTACAGCTGTGATCAGCTCTTTTCATTTCTGGCACTCCTTCATAGTCACTCTCTGCCCCTGCTCCAGCGTGGGGTCTCTCCCATGGGATGCCATCCTTCCCGAACTGATCCTGCCCACTGCTATCACATGGCTCCATACCACGGGGTCCATCCCCCAGGAGCAAACTGCTCTAACCTGGGTCCCCCACGGACAGCAGCTCCCTCCAGACCCCTGCTCCTGCGTGGGCTCCTCTCCATGGGCTGCAGGTCCGGCCCAGGGCCTGCTCCTGTGGGGGCTCTCCATGGGCTGCAGCTTCCTCCAGGCCACATCCACCTGCTCCTCCGGGGGCTCCTCCACGGGCTGCAGCGTGGAGATCTGCTCCATGTGGGACCATGGGTGCAGGGGGACAGCCTGCTCCACCAGGGGCCTCTCCCTGCACAGGCCGCAGGGGAACTGCTGCTGTGAGCCTGGAGCACCTCCTGCCCTCCTGCTGCACGGACCTTGGGGTCTGCAGGGCTGTTTCTCACTCCTCTCACTCCTCCATCTGCTGTTTAGCAGCATTTATTTATTTATTTATTCCCTTTCTTAAATATGCTGCCACAGAGGTGCATCATTTATCGGCTTGGCTCTGGTCAGCACCGGGGCCTTTATCTAACAGGGGGCAGCTTCTAGATTCTTCTCACAGAAGTGGCCCCTATGGCCCTCTGCTACCAAAACCTTGCCACATAAACCCGTTAAAATCAGTAAAGCACACATGCAGAACAGCACATGTGCTGAACCCATCCAGTGACAGAGGAATTGTGCAGTTATCTTCACACGGAACGGTGCCCTTTTTTTCCAGAGAAGTATCAGTGCCTGTAGCCTATATGCACATATTCTACAACGATACAGAGGATGTGACCGTATGGGATACAAAGTCCCTTATTTTGTGGGATACTGATACAAGAGCATTGACTGGCACATCTTACAAGCCTCTGAGGGCTCCCATTATACACTCTAAAGAGGACATCTTAAAGCTCTTTGCAGATGGCCACAGAGAGAGATTTGCTGAGGCCAATGGAGAGTGAGGGAGGAGTTATGATAGGATCTTGCAGCTTTGCTTCCTTACTTTGTTCTTATGCTTGAGGAGGGATAAAGGGTCTTCAGGGTGCCTCCTCACTGGGTGCTATGCCCTGTGTCCCCTTCCAGTGCACTCTCAAGACATTTTCAGATCCTTGATTCCCACAGCTCTGCCCTTTTTTCCACTGGTTGTGGGACAATAATCAGTTGCCTGTTTTTCATGTTGTTTCTTTTTCCTCTAGCATGCTCCTATGAAACCAGCATTAAATATGCATATCATGAATTTATTATGTATCAGTTATTTGCTGCAAGACTGGCATCTCAGGATGCTACAGCCAAGTGTCTGAAAGCATTTCTATGTGTTTCTGTTGCACTTCTCTCCCATCAACTATTCCCTGTCACATTGCTCTGTCAGAGAACCCAATTCTGAACTCAGCGTGCTGCTCAAGAGGCAAAATGTGCAGGCTGTCAGGATTTTTTTTTTTTTTCTTGTCATGTTTTTACATAGCTTCTTTGGGTGAATCCCATAGTCATTGGTACTGGAGGGCAAGTTTTGATTCACAAGCAAAATGTGATCTAATGCAGTTCTGGCCTTTGGCAAGTGTATCCAGTACTACACAACCCGAGACCAAACATCCCATCATTGCTGGGTATTTCACTGCTGCCATGCCTGCAGTTTCATTTTGTGTGCAGGGAATGGAGGCTTAGGGAGGCTTAGGGTATGAGGTCTCCCCATAGCTGTCTGGCAGGCCCAGAGATGAAATACAAAGCTGCCAAGGGCCCTCAGACCATCTCCCTTCTCTCACATGGCTCCTCTCCCCAGTTTCAGGAGCACAGCAGGGGATAATGTTATCTTCCTTAGAATGGGAGGACAAAGGCAAACTGACAAAAGAAGTGCTATCTCAGAGATAGGCCACTGCAAATTAACATGCGTTTAATGGATGATTTCCTATGGATTTTTAGTCCTCCAGATGCGTCAACCTGTTAAAATGTAAGAGCTCCAAAAAGTTGTCATTATCCAGTCAGGGCACAAACTAGAAAATGTTTTGAAGTCAGCAAGTGAGCTGAGGCACAAGAGGCGTTAACAGCTCTCAGGGGCTGTTGTTAAAGCAGCTCATTCATCTGCTGTGCCTTAGCAGCTCCTTCAGAGCCATCCCTAGGTCAGACCCAGCCACCAACTAATGAGTGTCAGCCCGGGCTTTGAGCTTTGGAACAAAACTGGACCTCCTTATGCATACATACAGATCTGTGGGATGGACCATAACAGTTTCTGTGCATTAGTGATTAGAATGTGACTTTTTATTCCCTGTTTTTGTTTGGTTGGTTGTTGGTTGGTTGGTTGACTGGTTTGGTTTCTTTGTTTTCAATGTGTTCTTGGGTGTCTTACATGCTTTGTGTGTACTCTCTGGACATAATCTTTGAAGTGCCTACTGGCTTTTGTGGCTTTCAGTCTCTTGCTTCCTCTTCTGCAAAAAGATTTAATTCCCCCATGTACCCTTTATCTAAGCAGTATCCCCAGTAGCACTGTCCGATGTGATGTGTACTATTTGCATCTCCTACATGGTCATAAGTTCCATCAAAAATCCCTCTCCACGTGGATATCTGCTTGTCCCTGAGAAAGGTCATAGGAATATCATCTGTTCTGTGCC